TCTGTCCCTTGTCATCGTGGTTGGTTAGTCACACAACGGCTGAGTTCACACACAAAACACACACCGACGACGTTCGTACGACAGGGAGCCGTTTTATCGCTAACTCCGACCGACAGTGTATCGTGTTTATGCAGTCAGTACGCTGTTGTTTGGATCTGCGACACGTCGGCGTCGACGAAACCGTACTATCGACCAAATCCGGGTGGCTCGAAGTGCCTTGTCTAGAGATGAAACATCGGCAGACAACTCACTTCGAAAGTTGATCAGATAAAAACTACCGTACCATGAGAAGACCCGGTTAATAGCAATAGCTAGAATTTCATTTGAAAGCTAGCTTGTTATGGCCATCACGTGGTTTGCTGCGTCAAAATTTTATCCATGGCAATATTAGATGTTCAGGCATAAATCTGTACGAAAGCAGCCTCATATTTCATTGTCTATTTCTTGTGCAGCACCTCCTCAAAAATCGTCTTCTTGACGACTGTGATACCTTGAACGAATCTCTCTCTCCACGCGCTTACATCCACTCTCTACACCTTCATTAAGGAGAGCGGGCAATGCATAAGTTAGCGGTTCGCAAGCCAGGTTAGTCAGTCGACATGATTGTCGTGACAGTGATTTGAACTAAGCAACTGCTGGTTAACAAGAGGCGACTAGGTTTCAAGTTTTACAGTTTCGAGGGTATCACGACAAGACGCAAAAGGTTTCAACAGAGACAACAAATGACACAGAAGACTAAATAAAATGACAAGAAAGTAAAGTGAAAATAAAGACACCATCATATCAGGATTATCATTATCAACATCGCTCAAAAATAATAATAAGTCAGTTAACATCTATCGTGTTTAAAGCTAAGAGGGCACGAAAAATCGAAGAAGAAAGAGAAATTGAATGCGTGAAGACTGAAAATCAGTTCGCTGTACTATATCCGATCGGTCTCAAGAAAGCAGAACAGTTTTTCTGGATCAGACTCCGCTCAGCCTGATAAAAATCCACTTGTTCACTTAGCCTGTTTTGTATTTGTTCATTTGCTACATATAAACTTTGGCCTATTATCTATGCCTTAAGGTTTACTTAAGTAAATTTGACCAGGTGACTGATTGATGTAACTAGTCAATGAAAAGGAACAACATCAAAAATACAGCAAGGATGCAGTCATCGGCAGTTGAGAGGTGATAAATCGATTTATTCATTTAGGGAAAATCTAATTTGAAAAGTGACCTTCTAATGAAACGCTTAAACGGAAAGATTTGAGCGCTACCATTCTTATTAATTCCAAATGTTATAAATGAAACATCATCCCCCTGAATTTTTTAAGGCGCCATATCATCTATACAGGAAATGGAGGAAAGTTTGAAACCGTCGGGATGTCGGTCTCATTTGCGCTTCCATGATGGACATTGTTGGTGGTCATTCGTTTCGAGGAGTTTATACTGCGGCGTCGATCTCCGTTTCTATGCCGTCAGCCAGGAGTGCCCTTTTTTTTAAAGCAACTATTGTAGCCATGTTTAAAGTACAACATGTACCGTCCTGTTTGCTTTTTTACTCATTTATCTACCTCTTAGCGATGAACGGCGAGTGACCTGCCAAGGGCTCGGAAAAACACCATCCCGGCTCTGGGTCTGACCTTC